GCCCGGGCCCTTTGCTCGTGTGAGCACGTACTTTTACATCGTAAGTGGTATCTGGTTTTAAGCCAGTGAGTGTCATAGAGGTGTCAGCTGGAACAATGAGTTGCTCCATTGGAAGAAGGGGGATGTTGATATCCCTACAGAGAACGGTATACTTGGTGATAATGCCATTTCTCTCTGCCAAGACAGGTGGCTGCCAGGATAACTGGACGGAGGTTGAGGTGGTGCCTTCTGAGTGGAGGTTTTGAGGGAATCCAGTTGGTGCTTCTTCAGGAACAGAAATCTCTTTCACCATCTCCTCCCCAAAGCCCACTTTGTTTCTGGCGGACAGCCTGAAGATGTACGATGCTCCTTTGTGGATGTCTGTAGCTGTAAAATGATCTTCTTTTTCAGAGAACTCGAGAGTAGTGAGAGGCTCCATATCCTTACGGCCAAATTTTAGACGGTAGCCCTGAAGAGGTCCAAATGTGTCCACAGGGGGGTGCCACTGAATGAGCGCTGTGTTCATCTGTGTGTGGTTGATCACAAGTCGGGGTTTCCCTGGAACTGGAGCACATTCAGGACAAGTGGTGAAACCAACTGGTGTGGATGTCCACATTTCAATTATTGCCAAATGGGAGTGTACCACTCTAGTGGCAGTCCCATTTCATTATTTGTAAAACAAAGGAAAACCACATTTGACCTACATACCTATGTGAAACTATATTCCTTCTCTACTTTAATAAGATAGTTGGCACTACCAGAATTTGATAAAAAGCACAAAAGAGGAGTTATCATTAAAACAACAATTTAAGGGATTATTTCTAAACATTTGCACATACAAGTTCATGTCTGCCATAGAAAAATGAATCCAAGTAAAGATTAGCCAATTACATATACTTAATAATGATTATTTATTATGTGCAATGTTTCACAAACTGTAAGAGCGTTGAGCATATTATCTTATTTGATTTATACTCCTCACTTCTCGCTATGTATTTTCATTAGTTATTATATATCCAATTTCTATAATAAGAAAATAAGAACAGAGAGGTAGAAAACTAAGGTCAGGTACATAAGAAGAAAACTGTAAGATAGATCCAGCTCTGCTTAAATCCCACTTAATATGCTGTTATATTGCTTAAAAGCTAAAAATGCTTAGTTTCTATGGGTCTAATTAGCACATTCTGACTTTCTTATCCATACACAAACTGTTATGAAGTTTTTCAGCTGTACAATAGGCACATCATTAAGACTTACCT